TAGTTTTGTATACTCCATAAGTAATAAATTGTGGAACGCAATAATTTTTCTTTATATTTCAGCGATTATTAACAGCAGCTTTCTTAATGTAATCGTGATCCATCATCATTCACGCCAATAACAAAACAAACACAAGCCAATGGTGGTGTTTTTGCTCACCAGGTGATGCTAGTGTCATTTGACGTTCAATTTTTGAAAGCTGCTGTTATTAGATTAGAAAATCTCTTACGATATATGCGCCATCCGGTGAGCAAAGAAACGGTAGCCCTCATTTGAAATAACATGTCGTTCTTTTACAATTTCTAAATTTAGCTTTGGGGGCAAGAAATCTTGCGTCGCCATTTTTTGGTTGCTTTTACGCTATTTGACAATAATTTAATACTTACGTATTTATTTTCAACTTGCTTCCGATTTTAATAAATAAATCAAACCAAATGAAAATAGAGAAAATGTACTAAAATTACATCTCTAGTTGAGAGTTGACAGTTTTGGGGACATTGACATTGACACTTGTTAGTGAAATTCAAATTATACTTATACTCGGAATTTTAATTCGATTCCAGATTTGACAATTTCAGTGTTGCAACGTTATGACAAGTACTAAATAGTGACGTTGCGAAATTATTCGATATGGAAATGCAATATTTCTGGATCGATTCTTCATGTTTATAATTTTACTCTCGTATACTAAGTATTTTTGGAAATTAAATATTTCTGAACCGATTAATTAGTTTTGACGATTAATTAACGATCTGAGACTTTTCTTTTATAATTGTGTGTGAAATAAATAAAAAAATGCAATCATGAAGGAACATGACAAATAAAACAGATAGATGTATTATGGTAATAAGTTATTTTGTAAATTGTCGCCGTCATCGCTATCGCTATCCTGTCACTTTCTGTAACATTTATTATAAAACACACACACTGATTGTTTATCGATTTTTGTGTGCATCACTACACTATTATATGTGGTATCATTATTTCACAAAATGACAGTAGCTATTGTCAAATCTGGAATCTAATTAAAATTCTGACTATAGGTACTTTACTTCACAACATTTAGTTTATTCAACAAAAATGTATGATAATTACGATCACGCTGACGATCAGTTAATCTATGTACCTGAAAATATTTTACAACATAATGATCGTAGTGTAGAGTATATGCGACTGGAAGAGGAGTACAATTCTCTTAACGAACACTGCCAATGTAAGAATATTTGTACCCAAGTAACATGTAAATGCATTCAAAGATCTGGTGGTTACAATTATGAAGCTTACCAGAAAGATGGTAAAACTAAGTACAAACTTATATCGAAATCAGAATCATACCCAGTTGTGGAGTGCAGTAATGATTGTTCTTGTGCTGTGGAACTGCAGTCTGTCTGTGGTAATAGAATTGTACACCTCGGCCCAATCGAAGGTCTGGATATACGAAGCTGTAATAAAGGTTTCGGGCTGTTTACAAGATCTTTCATAAGTTCTGGAACTTTTGTATGTGAATATGCGGGAGAAATATTAACTGCCACAGAAGCTTCTAAAAGACATGTTATAAATAAGAGGGAGGGCAAAATGAATTATATTATGTGTCTAAGGGAATATTCTGGCAGTAGTACTATAGTCACTATTATTGATCCAAGTACATTTGGTAATATTGGGAGATATGTAAATCATAGTTGTGACCCTAACTGTAATATTGTGCCTGTTAGAAGTGGGAGCCCTATACCGAAGCTTTGCTTATTTGCTTGTAAAGATATATCTCCAGATGAGGAAATAACATTCCACTTTGGGTTAGATGATGAGACAGTGAATGAGAGTGACAGAATTAAATGTTTATGTGGAGCGCAGAATTGTCGTGGGTTTATACCCTACCATAAATATTAAAAATTAGAAATACTCAGATGTTTCATTACTATTGTCACTACATAGTTGAAAACAAAGTTGTGTGACACAGACTATGGAAAGCAACTTTGCTTAGATCTTTAAAATTACACAACAGATTTTGATGCCGTTTTTAATAGGTAGAACGATGCAACAGATTGATATGTATAATACATGCATAATATTCTACAGAAAATTTTATGTCTGTGCAAGTTCATTGCACAGACATAAAATTTTAATTTTAATGTAGCAGTATTAATGATCATGTAATCCAAAAAATTACTTGTAATACTTTACTTTGTTTTATGAAATATTAACTCGTTGAGTAACGTCATTATAGACACAATTATAGAACAATAAATAGGTTTCGGTCACCGGTGACCGCTTGGTGTTTGACAGTTTAAATTCGAAAAGTTTGCATCTTAAATAAAAATATCAAATGAGATAGCTATGACACCATATTGGGTAAAAATATGAATAAATACAGTGATTTGACCTTTAAATGTTTTATTTTTTCTCAAAATCCCTAGCTTTATAGTATTTATTCTTCTGACCTTTTAACACAACACAATGCATGATCTTAAAGATAGTTATTTAATATTATAACCTGTTATTAATCATAACGACTGCATCGTTGGTCAAATGGCGAGCGCGACTGCTGAGAGTGAATTTATTGGTTTGATTCTAGGATCCAAGCTCAGCCAATTATTAACCGACTTAAAAAAATGTAGAGTTTGACCTTTATATGCGTATATTTCAATTAAACCATAATTTGGTTCTTTTGAACGTCAATAGATAAAAAATAAATAATAGTCTGTCAGTCAGTCCGTCCGTGAAGCTAGTCTAGAACATCGAATGGCTTTTCCCACCGAGGCGAGGCGGGAGGGAGTGGCCGACTCTTCCTGACTAAAAACCACCCCGTTCCTACTCCTGTCCTTCGAGCCGGAGTCCCGGCAATCCGTTAAGTCCTACGCGGCTCCGAGCAGGTTTTAGATTAAAAGAACAAACAATTAAAGAATTTGAAGTTGGTTTTTTTAAACGCAACTTCACGAAAATTATTATGAAGACTTCTTAAATTTTTAGTATCATACTTTCACGCCTGCTAGTACTGGAAATGGTAAGCAAAGATGTACAGACAGTATTAACAAAACAATAATAGAGCAGTGGCGTAGCTAGTTTCGCGAGGTATACTATGAATACTATCAACAGCGGGGCGGCGTCCTACCTGTTTGTACAGAATATGAACCGCATTAGAAACTTCCTTTGGGCCCCCGAGATGCGACTTGCCTATATCTGTATTAGATCTCGCGACGCCAATGTTGGCCAGTTGAGTTACAGGAAAGAAAATTAAAATTGACCATTCGAGTTGAAAACCTCTAGATCTAGATCGATCTTGAATTGACGGGAGCACATTACAACTGATGGAAAAAAACAATCTTATCCAAAGATTTTATATGAAGATCAGGTACTGGTAGAGACCATTAATCTCTCAATGTAGGACAAAATCCCAGTTCTCTGAGATGTTTCTTAGAGTTGATAAAATGTGTTTACCTAATGGAGAAAACCTTGCGTACCTAGTTATGGAAGACAGTTAAGTATTTTTTTTTAGGAGGGAAAGCCAGCCATCGAATGATTAGTCATTCGATGGGTGAGGCGGGAGGGAGTACCAGACTCTTACTGCCTAAAAACCACCCCGTTCCTTCTCCTGCACGTCGAGCCGGAGTCCCGGTTACCTGTTAGGTTCTCCGCGACTCCGAATCGGCATCGGCCCTGTTGGGGGCCACGGCCGGCGCGCGGTACGCGACGCGCTGTACGCTCGGGAAAACAATTAAGTATAGGTGGTGAATCTTTCTTATGAATTTTGTTAGTTTGCTAATTTTGGGTCTAGCAGCTATTGCGCTAAAAGTCATGGTTAAAATCAAGTGGGACGTAGGGTATCAACCAGTGCTGCTATGTGGTAATGTAAATTCTTGATAACCTATTACAATTAGGTGATAGCTTCCCTATATTGACGAGCCTCGCGTAACTAAACTCATCATCCATATCACGAATATTTTTATTAATCGATTTCAAAAAAAGACTCACAACATGGGACTCAGTTCTCAATTTGCCCTGTATACGTATGTAGCTGTAATGTTATTGCGCGATTATCTCGCGGTTGGCTAAACCGATTTTGATATGGTTTTCAAAAAAGTGTTTGTTAGATACACCTAGGAGATGGTTTAGTATATTAATTACCCGAATTAAAAAAAAGAGGGATTGAAGTCGTTTTTTTTAAACGTAGTTTTAATAATTAGCATTCGGAGTCGAATCAAACTGAGATCAAACCGAACGAGAGCTCAGATATCAACCTTAGTTTGTAATTACCAATAATTTTAGCTCTTGAGTATGTCTATGCAATTCTTAGTGGTTCAAAAGTTGCATGCAGCATTCGTCAGACCACAATCTATTAATTTGCGAAAGACCTATCACTAATTATGTAGAGTCTACAGTCCTATAGTATGTACCTACATTCAAAAATTCAATATTCAAATTCATTCTTTTATTGCATATCATGTGTACAATTGGTGTTACATGGGGTACAGTTTTAACATGAAACCCGGCTAAGCCCCGGCAACATATATTGCAAACTATAATCTAATTAAACTATTATTACTAATACTTATGTATTATATTATAACATAGAAGTGTTGTTTTCGTGCTAAACATTAACATATTTCCTTAAATTATTATAATATGTTACATAAATTTCTTAATAAGGTATATAGGTATTATTGTATGTAGTACATGTATTATTATATATAATATGATCTTTTATTGATTAGGTATGTAGTAGCGGGAGCATAATTTAAGATTTCAGAGTGGTTAGCGAGAGTTTATTTTTATGTTAATATATTCATAAAGTTACCTCGTTTAGTCATTTGATTGGTTGGTTAACTTGTAGCAGCCAATAAAAAGGCTAAACGCGGCAATTTTTCGATCGCGTTAGCGTAAAAAACTCCCACTAGGACCACGACCACGACCTCTTGCTCGGCAGTCGCGCTTGCGACTATCGGCTCGATTAATGAAGGAGCTTTATAGGTAGCAGGTAAATTGTTTGCCTATGTCATATATCATCGAGGATCTAAGTACTCGCACAAGTACTTCTTATTAAGGAAAACAAAATATTGACTGAGAGATTCTTGAAAATCATTAAATATATTAGACAGAGTAGCCGGACGTAACCGTGCCGGCACCGGGCACCGGTTGTTACGATAATTTCGCAAAAACAGGTTCTTGTTTTGCTACACAGATTTTTTGCTTCAAAAATCTATTTTATTTAATTTGATTCCGTCTTGGTGTGTGTAATTTCTTTTATCCTTATCACGATACTTGGGAATTACCTTCGTTCATCTTCGTGATTAGGAAGATGTAAATTACCGATTAGATTTACATACAATATTAGAATATCGTTAGCGCTAGTGTTTGTAGACTTTACGACTGATGTGACGCAGTAAATAAATGAGTAGGTATCTATGTATATGCAACGCTGTATCCGGTTTCGGTATAGTTTTGAAAGATGAGACCTGCAGTTCAGAAAAAACGTTAATAGGTTTAAGTTTGCCGTCGTAACATGGACTTAATTATTCTATCATTATTTAGTTGATTGTAAACGACTATGAGTAAGATGATGCACGTTGTTGGTAGGCTCAGTAGTCAGTAGGTACCTACCGGAAAATTAGAAAATCTAATAATATAGAGCTGCTATATTTTTCTGAATCTACGAGAATATTTATTTTAAGGTAGTTAAGCCTCCGGTAACCTCACTCACACGATGAAACAGCGCAAGCGTTGTTTCACGTTGGTTTTCTGTGAGGTCGTGGTATCACTCCGGTTGTGCCGGCCCATTCATGCCGGAGCAAATTAATAAAACATCCCACAACAAACATTTTCATGTAAAATGTTACTAATACAAGTAATACAAGACCATATATCTCCCTTATGCTGTCAAAAGTAATCAAATCTTATGTAGGTGTGAATCTACATAGGATCTGATTACAAATTACTTACTTTGTCTAAATTTCTAACCCACTTACAATTTACATTAGGTAAGTACCGGTAAAATGCTTCAGCCGCAACTCGTAGCCATTTGTAGCGCTTGGATTGTAGTGCCTTCAATAAATATAAAAACTATTGTAAGTATCACAGAAAAGTAATTACTATTATACCCTACGTGTTACGAACTATCTGATACGAACTTGGAATTAAGCGCTATGAGTTACGAACAATTCGCAAACTTCGAACTACGAGTTACGAACTAGCTGCTACGAATATCGAACTAAGCGCTACGAGCAACGAACAATCCGCTACAAACTACGCGCTACGAGCTACGAACTATCTCCTGCTAACCTTGAACAATGCGTAACGAGCTACGATATGCTACAAACATCGAACGTAAGTGCTACGAGGTACGACCATCGAGCTATGTGCTACGAGCTGCGAACTACGAACATCGAACTACGTGTCACGAGCTACGAACTGTGGTTGCGCATGTGGTGTTAAGATTTTGGTTTTACATGAGATCTGATTAGTTTTGCAGAACAAGGGATCTTGGCATTGACAACAATTTGTTTGAAAATGTTGAAACCTACATGTTAGAGACTTCTAGTTATTTTTTGATATCAAAACCATATCTCTGGGGAATTAAAAGTATACGTAGGTATATGTATATGTATAAATGCTATAAGATACTTCTTATAATATTTATACAAGGGTTTAATAAGCCTACCAACGACGTCAGGATCGTATTAAGAAAATGATATTTCTTGGTATTATCCAGGTTCAAAAATACGACTAAGCGCTTTTTATGTACGTTGGTTTTTTTAAATAATCTAGGTTCCTAATTGAATGACCTAGCTAAACCACGTTAGTTTTCTCATACTTTTTTAAATAATTTATTTCCTCGCATAAGATGAATTTAATTGTTATACCGGTTATACGGAACTCGCAGTTAAGTGCTTGTTCTTCAGTATTTTAGTAGAATTGTACCATTTTCAAGAATATCTAAAGCAAACAATTTATATCGCGTATCGGTTTGTTAAGTGATAATAATAAGGTCTGTAAATGTATAATACACACTTTATTGTCCATAAATCGTGAATCATCCCATTCTGTTATGATCTGATTGTAACAGCTGAATCCTCTTCATGAAATTGCCTTAATCGATTCTAAAATGACATCCACAGCTCACAGGAAGTGATGCGGTGAACTATTCTCAACCAAGGCCAGGCAGGAGTAATAAATGATTCTGTTATATTTCCACTGCAGTTGTTGTATCTTCGTATTGTTATATTGCCAGAGGTTCAAAAAAACCCGCCAATTGTTATTTTATTTTACTTAGAATGGCTAATCTGTTATTCGGCATAGATGAAAACAAAATAGTTTGAGAATAGTTGTCCGTTTGACCCGAAGATCCACGAATCCGTAGCGGAAAGCCCGCGAGTCGTCGGTCAACAGAGATATGTGCACAATATGTGTGTACTTAAGCCGTTCGCGAGTGGCGTGCTATCGAGTTTCGCGGCGGACGACGACGAGCACGCACGCTCCCCACACGCGCTCCAGTGACGATAGACTCATTGCTGAGTGAGGGTGGACGTGGAACGTGCCAGAGACTGAGGGACAATTGGTGCAATCATCTCGTTGAGCGTAAACAAACGAGTAAGTACGGGTCCGCCTTTATGTAACCAGAGTAACAACGTATCGGCCGACTAGCTGCCGGTATTTTAGAATATCAATGTTTTGTTGTTATTTGTGAGTATATCTAGGTAAACGATTGATTCCGCGAACACCTAACAGTATTGTAACTGACCAAACGGGAACCGGTCGTCATTGTGACTACGTAAGTACCTAATCATTGAGTTCATACATAGTTCGTAGCATTATTTCCATTCGAGAAACTAATAGATTTTTCGAACTCTATCACAATAAACTTAACTTTTTACACGGGTGAGTTTGTAATGGACAGTACTTAAATGCTTCACAATCTACTTAAATGGTGTTCTTAATTTTAATCAACGGTTATTTTTTCATAAAGTCGTATTGTTTAAAAACTTCCGTCAATTGATATTACTTTGATTAACTTAAACACGAATTACAAAGTACATAAGCCATGTACACAGGTGCGAGTTCCACATTCTTATATGCTGCTTGCTAAACTGTATATAGATTTGCATCTAGATATGCTAGTTCGTGTGTTCATAACTCGTTTCTGATGGAGCCAGTGGATGTCAAATTTATGTTTTTACTGACTGTTCTGTTAATGGTATGATTTCCGTTTTCTTTGGAATCTTGTTCATCTTCAGATTCAATTAAGTTACTTAATTAAGTAATTACTAAAAACTAAGGAATTTAAATCGACTACCACCTCTATCCAAATCCATTAAATTATTTAATTCCTCTATTTGCTAAATAAAACCGAATAACTTGCCTAATCGTAAAGTTCAATATTTACTGTTACCGTAATCTGAGCAGTGTAACATAGGATTGTTGTGTAACAAACAAATGGACGCTCTGTTTGTAAACAGTATGTCAAATATTCACATATTTAGGTGTTCGCAGAATACTATTATAAGAATGGAACTCGATAGCCTGCTGAAACCACCATTTGTCTCACTCACAGAATAATTTTATTAGACACTAAAAAGTCCGACAGAATTGACGTTGATAGTCTTTTTAAATCTCTTTGAGAGTTTTTCGATTAATTTCCGATTTCAATCACCGATCTAAATCTAAAAACTTTAGATCGATGGACTCTATGGAACTAATATAAAAAATCAAACTTAATCTAAACATTTTCGATAAAAGAAGTACTCGTGGTGCTCGCAGTTAATCAAAGTTCAACAAAGAGATTTTTTATTTAAGTTTTCGGATAGATATTGAAATCGGGAAATAATTACCTAGCTTATATAAGGGGTCTAAAGATACCATGATTCAGTTTAATTGAACATGATCTGTCAAGTTTTAGCGGTACTTTTTCATAATCCCTGAATTGATTTTTGTCTCTTTACGTACGGCCTTGATTTGTATATAGATCTTTTCCCCTAGTGGACAATTTTTCTATATATTTTGTAAGGTAATGTGCATTGCAACCTTTAATCAAACATTTTGATTGAATCTTTTTAACCAATATATTTTAATTGCTGTTTTACGGATATTAAGTACATACAATTTCACGCAATCTGTCTGCAATCATCAGTCTAAGTATGTTATAACTGCCGTATTGCATGTATTTTAAAAATATAAAGTGACTAAACGGGGTGCCGTATTGTTTTATAATTTTTGTATATTCACTGGTTTCACAAAAACGCCTGGATCAATTACGAAAAATTGTTTTTGTTTTTATATTTTGGCGGTTTTACAGTAATCGCGAATATGTTCTTAATTAATATCAAAATCGTGACCGAGAGATCTATAAAAGGATACAAAATTACAAAAACATCTATAGAAATAGGATGTTTGTTTGCAAAGAAATAAATAAAATAAAAAGAAGTCATTAATCATATAGTTAGTAACATGTTTGAAACTGAATTATAATTATTAACAAACAATTTTAAAAATTCTGGGTCATTGGTCGACAGTCAGACGAGTCAAAAAACGGTTTCATTTTTTATTTTGTAAAAAAGTACCTAAGTGATAAATTATTGAGTTTTCGAATATTTTTATCACGAAGTCTGGAACAGAGCTTTTTTTTAAAAAAAATCTCTTTCGTGACACTGACGGCAAATAACCGTTACAATTAAATCAAATGGTGCATCTCTGTATAAAAAATAATACTTAAAAAAGTAATTATGTAACATGATTGGCGGCTCATTGTTATTTTGTTTATTTTACATTCTACTTTTATTATATTTCGTGATAATATAAACGTGCATGCAAGGTCGAGGTCTTTAGGTGACGACTTGCGATTGTCATGTGATGTAATCATTTACCTACAGACACTAGAGCACAACAACCTCCTCCCAGTCAGTCTTTCGCAACGGAATTTTAACTTTAAGCTTTTGATATAACGTTGAATATCTATTGATGAAGTTTGGGATAGCGTGATGTGCTTGATGTCTGTCTGATAGATACGAATAAAGACGCAATGCTCTAAAAATGCGACGAGTGGTAATTGTATTTCTAGTTTTAAGCGCAGTCAGAGCACTCAAGTAGGGATAAGTAGACTAAAAACGATTAAGAAAAGAATAGACCGGCTCGACCGGAGAGATACCACGAACTAACAGAATCGACGTGGACGCGTAAAATAAGAAAAACTGGGTGCAAAATGAGCGGTCTACCTGGTAACTGGTAGAGGTTCATTGTATGTTGTCAGTTTGTGAATATTTGTGAATGTATAGATTTATAATTTACATTCCTTAGGAAAGCCAATAGATAAAGGTGATCATAGTAGATGGTGCTCTATATTTATATAGGTAGCAATAGACCGTTTTAAACTACTGCAACCAATTTAACAATCTGCACGTTACGACACCTAGCTGCCGTATGCAAGTTAATTAGTTTATGACGATACTACAGCTTACAACAATAACTTTACCTTATTGCAAAATGTATCTAACGTTGTGCAGTTGTCAGATTTTAGTGATTGATTGCTGTTTATCGTTACTTATGTATATTATAAATGGGAAAGTATGTGTGGTGTCTAACCCGGAGGAGGAGTATTTGTGTTTATATGTCCAAACCGGACATATAAACACACAATACATACTCCTCCTAAAAGTTGAAGAAATGAAGAGTAACTAGACTGGGTTTTATCTTCTTCAACCCGATCCCTTGACTAAGTTAGGAGATGCAAGATTTCATGAAGTAATATCCAATTTTCCAAGTAGAATGCTAAAAATTGGTATGGCTATTTGTGACTAACAAAATAATCGTGCATCATTTATTTTTCAATATCACGCTACGACCAATTGGAGTCCCGCAGCAGGTAAAACCGCGCGAGAATTGCTAGCTTTATTATATTTTTATGCTTCAACCCCATTAATGGAATTGATTTTATATCTATCAAACCAAAAATCGCATTTATTTACTAAAAACCTGAGTTTTTTAAAACATTATTCTATCTAGTAAAACTGGATTTTACCGTTACGTATAGCTAGGTAACATAGCAACAGTTTCACGTAAATTCTTTATATTTTATTATGACAAACAGGTTTTGTTTGCATTGATTTGTAAATCTTTACTGATGTTTTATTAAATGCACAATTGTTTAGATAGTCAATCTTTATTTGTTCGTGAGCTTTGCAAAAAGTTGTCGTATTTACTTTTCAGTTGATAAATAAATATTACATACTTAGGTACTTGTTATGTTAAACTTTAAAACATAGGTACGTCATTAATATTTAAGTTGGTACCCAAATATGTACCGAGATGTCTAAGTACTCAAAGTTAGTATAGATACTAAATATACTAATTAACTACAATAGATTTAAGAACATCTTATTCCTAGGTGCATACATAAATATTTACATTGGTTTTTTATGATAACAGGAAAATAGTACATTTCAATTCTTGGAACCTGTTTACATTTAGAAACTTGTAGGTGACGACTGGCGAGTGACGACCGAACGTCGAGTAAGTATACGTAAATGATGACGTAGGTACGAGACGTTCCCTTATGAATTAATTTAAGTCACACACAGTGTTTTGGGTAAAACCGCGGCCATGTTTTTATATTTTTGACGTCTTTATTTTATCTTACTTATTGTTTTCCTGTATTTGTTTATTCTTGATATGTTACTGTTTCTTATTAATGACACAGTAGGTAAGTATTAATAATGGAGTTACTTAGATATAATGATAACGTCATAATAATATGGTCAAAGGTCTACCTAATCGTTTTAGTTACCTATATAATAATTTCTAATTGTTGAATTAATTGACCAAATAACTATAAATACTTAATACAATTCCACCTTTTTATTCAAACACGCGCCAACTCCACAATTTGCCTAAAGTTTTTTGATTCAGTTATTAAATGAATATTTACCTGCATGACTCATTCATTAGTAATAACATAACGAAGCAATGTTTGTTTTAAAAATGTAATGAGAAATTCCACTGAATAACCACCTGTAAAAAATAAATAGAAGACTTCAACTTGTATGATAACACATTTAAATTGGTATAAAGTTTTTGCTAACTCGTACGTTTTCTAGATATTTTATCGACATACCAAACAAATAGGTAGGTACCTATCCCGCGCTGGCCATCTTTTTTAATCTATCGCATAATCGCATAATTAATAATGTAAGTCCCACGTAGTATCTAATAGTTTTGTTTACAATTTAACAATATATAGTTGTGTAAGTAGTATGCTATAGGTAAGAAGGTACCTACGTGAAAAAATTCGCGAAGTTGAACTAAAATAAATTATACAGCTTTTTCAATTTGTTTAATTGGCTTCATTGGAATTAATCAGAATTTATTTGCTGTTGCGAATGGAAATCTAGTATTTAATAATTACCCATTTACGAATTTCATCCTCAGATATGTTGAATATGTGTTAAAAAATGTAGTACATTTCCTTGCAGAGTCAATATGAGCCGCTTGTTGGCGGTGTGCGCATCCCTGTGCGCGGTCATTGCGCTCGCACACTCGGCTGCGGTGCCCACCCAGGACACCATGGTAGTCGCCAAGTCTGACGATGGCGTCACCGTAAGTATCTTAAAAGAGATAATAAACAAAGAACCATGATTCTCTTCTATATAAGAAATTTATGAACAATATTGGAAAGGAGTTCTGGTCTTAGCAAACTTATTTGAATATCCAAGATCCTCAATGTAACATGCGTTCAGAGTCGTCAATCAGAGTTCAGTCAGAATTCAAAATGTTCAAATAAAACTAAACACTAGACCTGAAAATCAATAAGAATTTAATCCACTGAAGAACTGTAAAAAAAAATGCGTTTCAATCTCCTCATTTAGTCATGGTGATAAAAAGTCACAGTGCGTAAGTCATATAAGTAATATGTTACCTAAGTTTTATTGTAAACAATGCATTGCGTACTGTTAACTACCTGACATAATTGATAATAGCACCGTGTTACACAGATGTAGAGAGCTTGAACACAGAGCATAAATAATAATTTTTTATTCGTCGACTTTATTCAGGTGTGTTGACGTTCAAAGAATCTGATCTTGACTTGATTTTACTCAGGTTGCAACTAACTCAGCACCGGCTGTGACTGAGGTCACGACAGAAGAATCCAGCCCACCAATTAAACTGACAGAGATGGACGTCATATCCGAGGTGTCACTTCGGTATGCGCATACGACGGTCGTGGCGAAAGTACGAAACCCTGCCAAGAAGGCCCAGGAGGCCAACTTCAGGGTCCTACTGCCCGAGACTGCTTTCATCAGCGGATTTGTCATGTAAGCATCTTATACAGCAATAAACAAGTATAATAAATACAAGTATTGTCAGGCCCGAGAGAGCGCGCTTACTCCGAGTAAAGGAAGTCGCCAATTACTGCTCTAAGTGGATACATACTTCCGACCAGAACGGAAAATCAATAAGTTAAAGACTTATGTGAACCCCACAGCGAATTTGGGACCGTATTAATAAATTGTTTAATATATCATTTATTACAGGACACTCGACGGAAAGTCCTACAAGGCGTACGTGAAAGAAAAGGAAGAAGCCAAACAGATTTACCAAAGTGCAGTCGATCAGGGAATCGGTGCTGCTCATATTTCTGCCAAGTAAGTATTAGTCCACCAGTCTCCTGTCGTTTTAACAAAAATACATGAGTCGTGTCGTAAGACTCGTAAGGCTGCCTAAAATGGTAACGAGATACTAATTCATGACATACAATCACGCCCACGGTCATGAGTCGAAAGTGTTGTTGAAGCTGTCTATTATATGTAAATATATTGCTGTTCGATCTTTTGTGACTTATGAGCGTGTATGAGTCATTGTTTAGAAGCAACTTGCTTTTGTCAATAGAGGACTCGTGGGGAAAAGTTTTAGAGAGTTTATACATTTCTGGAGAATGAACTTTCATATTATTCGGTTTTAATATTTTCTGGCGTTTGGGCAAATAAAAAGGATTTTAGGACATAATTAAATTTCCGTTGGAGGAGATGTACCTACTTATCACGAATGTTCACTTGCAGAGCACGTGATTCAAACCATTTCACCGTTTCCGTGAACGTGGAAGCTTCATCAAACGCAATCTTCAACTTGACTTATGAAGAGTTGTTGGTGAGACGTAATGGTGTATATAACCATGCCATCAACCTGCACCCTGGAGCGCTGGTGCCCAAGCTTACAGTCACCGTCCATATCAAAGAGACTGAGAAACTCGTGGAGCTGAGAGTACCAGAGATCAGGACTGGAAACGAAATAGATGCTACTAAGGATGATGCCCGTACGTTACAAATTTTATTTTTAAACAGTTAGCAATTTATGGGTATGAGGCATTGTTGTATTTGTGACCATTTCAATTAGGTACGTATAAATAACACAATATTTGATTTTCAGAAAACTCAAAGGTATCTATCGTAAAAGCGCACGACGACCGCGAAGCGACCATCACGTTTACACCAGACCTCCAAGAACAAGAGAGACTCATTCAAATCTATACTGTTAGTATGTTGAAGTTTTATTCTATCCTCTGAATAGACAATATTCTGAACAGTTCTACTGTCGTCCTCTATTTTAAACTAAACCATTCCAAATCTTTTTTGCAGCAAAAGTCCAAGGAGTCTGCTACTGCTACTCATTCGTATTCATCATGGTCATCATACTCGGAGCCTCCCGAACCCACTCCAGAAGGAGTGCTTGGTCAATTCGTAGTGCAGTATGATGTGGCTCGTCCTAAAGATGGTGAAATTCTGGTCAGTAAAATATCTCAATATTTGAGACCATTTGCCAATCGTCTTTAATTATTGCGTTACTTCTGAATTAACGAAAGAAAGTCATCTTTAATAGTGTGGCTATTCATTAAAATCTCATGCGAAAGTCTTGAATAATAATTGTTATTATTCCGTTCTTGTAGGTGAACGATGGCTACTTCGTTCATTTCTTCGCACCGACAGAGCTCCCGCCTTTGAACAAGTTCGTAGTGTTCGTCTTGGACACGTCTGGCTCCATGATGGATCGCAAGATTGTTCAACTGAGGGAAGCCATGCAGACTATCCTCTCAGAACTTAATGAAGGCGACTACTTCAGTATTGTGGAGTTTGCCTCTGTTGTCACGGTATGTGATTTTCTAATACCGTTTTAAGACATGTTTAAGTTTTAATACATGGAAACTGACTAAAATGATGTAGCCTTACTGGGTTAGCAATTTGTTGACTGAAATCTTTCGTTTTAGGTGCATGATCTCAAAGAAGCAGAAGGTGAACCCCCGAAGAATCATTATTCATATTTCGATTATCATGACAAACAAGTGAACCTGGTGCCACCGTCGAGGGCCACTAAAGAAAACATTGCTCGCGCCAAAGTTATTGTCAACTGGCTGCAAGCTTCTGGAGGTAAGACAACAGTTTCCTGTTTACCACATCTAAATAATAGCTACTTATGTGATGGACCGATTTACAATGTGTTACACTCTTATCTCCAGAAAGTAAGGTTAAAGAAAATATTCCAAAGTTTGCATTACCTATATGCGTTATCGGTTTGACCTCCTCATGTAACTCTTGATAAAGAAAACAAGCTTTATCTGTGATTTCGCGCATAAGAATTTAAGATGGTTAGTAATAATTTTAATTGTCTCAGGTACTAACATCGGAAGAGCCTTGGACGTGGCTGTGGACCTGATAAACAAGGGTGTGGACTGGACCACTCCCCTACCTGTTACTGTGTCCACTAACGCCTCTGACAATGCTACCCCAACTACCGAAGCTGTTGCAACTACCGAAGCTGTCGCAACTACCCAATCTGTTGTTACTGCTGAAGTTGCCGAGAAAAAAGGTAAGATACTATTATTGTACTTGACATAAGTAAATAAAGAAATGATGCTAGAGAGCTACTAATTCTTCGCAAAATACTTAGTTTATAAATTAGTACCACTTCAGATACCTACACGTTTACTTTCGCAGGAACCAAAACCCTGGAGCCTATCATAATCTTCCTGACTGACGGAGATCCAACCGTCGGCGAGACTGACCCCAAGCGCATCATCACCCACGTACAAGAAAAGAACTCCGGACCTAACAAGGCTACTATCTACTGTCTTGCTTTTGGTAAGTCAATCTTCTGTGGCCATATTATATTATATCAATCACACTATTTTTTATTAGGTTAAAAACAGAGTACATCATGAACTTCTTGCATTGTCTGTTGAGGGTCATAATAATGCATGATGAGATAGATTAAGATGATGACCAGTTTATTACGGGTGTTCCAAAGATTTTAGGGTATTTGTGTTAAAGAAGCTCATGTTAATTTTAAAACTACGCTTGCAGGCGAAGATGCGGACCGTAAGTTCTTGCGCAAGTTATCACTACGTCACGGAGGATTCATGCGACACATCTACGAGGCGGCGGACGCGGCTCTGCAATTACGCGACTTCTACCGACAGATCTCGTCCCCGCTTCTCGCTAATGTCAAATTCAGCTACCCTCCCGGACAGGTAAACCATTGGAAAGCGAATTTAATTGACCAAAAACCATGGTTCCAAAATGATATAAATTAAAAGATAATTGATGTGCTAGTAAATAATATAATTGTTTGTGTATCAGGTTCGCTCAGAGTCTCTGACTCAACATCAGTTCCGCACGTACTACGCTGGCTCCGAGTTGGTAGTGGCCGGACAAGTGCTCGACGTGCCTGAGCTTGCACCCACCGTCGAAGCCTTCTGCGGCGTCGACGATGGGAAGGGCAGGGTAAGCGACCAACGAAATTTCTTTGATAATTTTTGAAAAATTATTTTCCAAATACAAGAGTACATGGGGAAAAGCTCGTAAAAACAGTGGCATGACCTCTGTTTTCAGGGGCTTCAGTACTCTCATGTTTTTTAAATAAAACCACAGAAAACTATACCATTGTTACTACGCTTACAGAAACGCTTAGAGATCTTACCCAAGGCTCCCATTGAGAAGAAGAAACAAGGAACTTTGCCTCTGGAACGACTATGGTCCTACCTGACCATCAAACAGCTGTTGGACCAACGTGATGCTTCTGATGACGCCGAGCCTGCTGATAAGGAAAACACTCCCGAGAAGAAGGCTCTGGCGTTGGCATTGAAGGTAATGGAACAATTGAGTTCGAAAATAATCACACAGACTTTTTCGATTCTCCCTAATTTCGTCTCACTAGCCGGGAATTAGGAGTTGTGTGCGAAGCTTGCTAGCATTATTTTTGTTTCCTCGATTGGTAAAAAGAAAATGAGTTGAACTGAGTCTATGTACATTACATACAGTCTGGACACGTCATCCTCCTCCTTCAAAGTTGCTGATAGTTACTTTCCCTGAACTAGAGCAGTCACTTCTAGCTTTGAATGCCATTTACTTTCTTTGATTTGTGTTTGTTCCCTGTATTTTCATAAAATATTTCTGTTACTAGTATGCGTTCGTAACACCATTGACGTCCCTTGTGGTGGTGAAGCCCAACGCTACTAATGCGGTCAACGCCGAGTCTGTGGATAAAGCAGGTGATAATGCCCTTGATCTAATAGATAATAAAAGATTTTGTAGTTCCTCCGAGGAACTTCATCCGTAGTGGTTGTAAATACATAAAGATGTTAAATCACAATACGAGATTCAGTGAGATTGACGATATATTCCATTTACAGCTCCTGGAGGTGCTGGAGGTTTTGCTGGCATTCGTAAGTATTTATAATTATTATTATTAAGTGCTTGTGCCGTTGCCTGATTCGAGTAATATGATTCAACGTGATCAACCCCAGCAAGTCAAGTCATAAAATTTGTCTTTTTACTATAGTGATCATGATCAGAAGTGTTAATAGCTGATCATACAACATTTGAGAGAATTCGTATTCAATATCCAGTTGATTTCATTTTTAATCCCCAATTTTAAACAGTGTCAATTTATGATATAATGCTTGCTTGTTGGCTACTAATGCAATATTTGTCCTTGTAGCTTTATCAGTAAACTTGGCTCGTCCGATGGCAAGTCACGCGGCTTTCGGTCTGTCGGGTCCTGGCTACTTCACTCCTCTCTCTCTTCCAGCACCAGCGGCACCAAGTGGCGCCTTCGCCAGTAAGTTATTCAAACTAAATTATATACGCATCTTGCTTGTGATTTCATTTTTTATCAGTCATCTGGTATCTTTAATATTCAAGTAACTATCAGCTTTACAAACGCATGTGCACTTATACAAATCAGCCTGTTGTGTTGTTAACAGCTAATTTTGATCATATATCATTTCAAACATCTTTTGTCTTCTTCGGTTAATGTTACCTAATCCTACAAGTACCTGGAACCACACTGGTGCGAAGTATAGCAATAACTTTTAGTCTATCTCTTTCCCATTATAATTATGTACTATGTACTTGTATATAATATAGTAATAGTTTACATTATTTATGGTGATTGTGGTAGTTAGTCTACTTCATATACATATATTATTTATTTTTATATCTTTCTACGTTTTTATCTTTTAAAATTTTGCTTGATCTGTAGATAGAAGGCTAATTATTATGGTTAAGTTTTTGTAGTGGAGTAGAGGGTTGTATATAGTGAAGTGTTTGAATACGAGTTGACAAAATTATTTATTATAATATATCTCACATCAGGCATAGGTAGTTTTTCGGCGCCGGCCTCTCTCGACGTACTGGAGGAAGCCGAAGTAGAGGAGTATTCATTGGAAGTTGACAGAGGTAAAATACCTAGTGACAGTATTCATCCCAGTATAACGAGGCTGATTACGGTACACACCGATAGACGAAATTAGTTAATATTCTTTATTTCTAGTTAGTATACCTAAATTACCCTCTTTATTACTATACGTGTACCGTATACGATTACTTACTGTGGATCATCACAATCATTGAGATTATTTTTTATGGTATGAGCCGGTAAATGAGCAGACGGATCACCTAGCGGTAAGTAGTCGGCATCGCCCATGGACACCTGGAACACCAGAGGCGTTGCAAGTGCATTACTGGCCTTTTGGGATTAAGAATTTGAGGATTGTTGGGGATTCAGCGATTGGGGAAGGGTCACACGACGGAACACCACGCAGGCGTTGTTTCACGTCGGATTTCTGAACTTTTCTGTGAGGCAGTGATATCACTCCGGTCGTGCCGGCCCATTCGTGCTTAACCATGGCTCTCCCACACTATTATCGCTTTGTGTTGTAGTTGACGTCAGAATACCTTTACTGCCCCAATAAGAATTGTTAATTACCTACATTTATTTAGTGCCAATGTGGATATTTAACTTCGAATTAGGAACACATAGGTATAGATGTTATAGCTACTTATGGTACATATACATTCCTACCTACCGCCTGACGCAGGTCCTCACCGGACATGGCAGTTTCGGGAGGTACCTGTGTCTGATGGGCAGGAGGAAACGTCCGGGTGTCATCACTGCGAGGGCCGCCCTGAGGACACGGTGGAACACACAAAGGGGGGAATGCCCTGCGTGGGCTGAGCACCGCCATGCTCTCAGGGAAGTGTTCGGCGATGGAGACCTCTCGCGTCCGGGCCTAGTGCAGGTCATGATGCGGAGCGAGGGGGACTGGGATGCCGTCTTCTCCTTTTGCGAAGCAGTTATGCTAGCTAAGGAGGAGGCGGGACGCGTGAGGCAGCGAAGCGATGCCTCCTCGCAACCCAGCCATCGCGAAGGACACACCGGGCGTCGGGGATCGCGGGACGATCTCCGGCCACCGTAAGCGCGGGCCTGCATTCATTTCTGCCCATCGTCGTCCCATCGACATCGTTGTCACTTTACTATAAGGTTAAGAAACTATTAAGTATACCATTTTTTATGTATGTAATATACAACCAGTTTCAGATTAAGTAGGTATTTTATATTTTTCCACCACCCATCACATGCACGAAAATTCATTTCTACTCCTATAAAATAATGTGAATGAATTGTAGGAATTATTTAATTTGATCCACGAGGATCCATGCCACATGTCGGATTTGCGATCATTGGCTTCATGACTCGAGCTTTTCGCATTCTGACTTTGAATGTTCATCAACCTCGCTACTTATTGCTCTCAAACTGTACCTACTTATATTTAAATTAATTGTTTCTTTGTCTGTGCTTCAAATGCACAAACTAACATTTCTTTTTCAAAATATTTACTAGGTTATAGTGGTGCTAGCTACCCTCTCTATGACAGGGTAACTACAGCGTATCGGACTGTTCCTAGTTCGATCACATCTTTTAATCGAAATAAAGTACTGCTACACAGTAGTAGACCAGCTTTTTATTCCAGTGCTGCTTCATTCGGTTCATGTAAGTATTTTCTACAGCATTCAAGTTATTTCATTAGTAATCTTACAATAACTAGATACACTATAACATAATATATAGGTACACATCTTACAATAGTATCCTAGTTTAGCACCTATGTATTATTCTGCTTACTCCTGTTAAGTTTTAATATAAACAAATACTATCTCCTATAGAGTACCTATGTATTAGTATGTATCTACACTATCGTATCGTTTAATAGGTGTGTATCTGCCAAAACTAAGCTTAATTATACAAATGGGATGAATACTAGGAACAGAATACATGTTTTATTTGAATTATAAGAGTTATGGATGTATTAAACAATTGAAATATTTTATTTAAAGACACAGGATTCGGATTCGAAGGAGCGATTAGTACACCGGCGCCTCCTCTGTACTTACCGACCTATGCGCCTTCGACCACTTCACGTCCGGCCTTGGCGGACTTCCACCTGCAGGGCTACAGTTGGCTGGAGTCACTCCTAGACGCCAGTGCGAGCTCCATCCTGCTGCCCACTAACGACACCACTGTCACTTTGAAGCTATCCAAAGACCCAGTGGTGAGCATAATTTCGTTAATCATCCATATTGACAATTTTTGTTATGTACCTATACTTATTTATAGAATAGATGTCGTCAAAGTAAAGTCTTAAAAAAGTTCATTTACTTTATCCTTTAGTGCCTACAATACAATCTTACATTTTATTTTCATTCCTCTAGGCTCCGAAAGAAGCAAGTGGTGACGCAGAATGCTCGAACGCGGTGGAGGGCGGTGCAGGACTATGTGTGTACCTCACAAGATGTGACGGTGTTAAAGACATCACTCTGGACGTTTACAAGACTACATACTGCACACTCAGTCAAGGGTACGGCATAAATATCTACTACCATTATAAGCTACTTCCGCGCGGTTTCACACGCTCTGCTTGGCTCCTACTGGTCGTAGCGTGATGTTTTATAGCCTATAGCCATCCTCGATAAATGTGCTATCCAACACAAAAAGAATTATTGAGATCAGACTTGTAGTTACGTAGATTAGGGCGTTCAAAAAAAAACAAACAAAAAAAAACAAACTCTTCCGCTTTGTATAGTAGGTACAAGATAAGCTTCTTTGAAACTATTATCACTTCCAGGTTTGTAATTTTAATCAAGTATTCAGTATTCAGTCTTCAGTCCAGTATCCGCTGATCTGATAAGTTAATCTCAGTACATAGTTGGCAGTAGTTAGTTAGTCAGTAGTTAGTTAGTAGTTAGTTAGTTTAGCCTTGCTAATTTATGCAGAGATATAATGCCGAGATAGACAACGAAATTGGACCTTAATGATTCAAGTAAAACTAAAATCTGCTGATTAAGTATAGAGGTAGAATCAACTACGAACACCATTGGTGGACTAGCTAACTAAACTGATACTACTTATTATTAACCTAAGTATTTAATGTATTGTTTCTTACAGATTTGCTGGAGTTTGCTGCCAACAGAAGAAAATCGACTTAACACATTAACAAATAAGGTCTAGGTAGTATTAAACCATGACAATAACAAATGAGATAAATAACAATTAAGATACTGTGATTACTGTGAATATAGAAAAGACAACAGAAAATATACAAAATAAGCAATATTTTAAAATACGATATGCCTATGAATAACAATTTATCAATAACTGTGCCTATACAGTGAGATTATTTGCATGGGTTGGTATTTTAGTATGAACTGAAACGTTTTGAACAAATGTTAAGTAATTACAGAAAACTTAAGGTGCTAGAATAATCGATTAGTGCCATTATTAGAATTAAACATGACCTACTGTTGTGAAATGTACCTAGTTTTCGTTTTTTTACAATTGAATCTTAAATAAAGATAAGATAATTTTTCAATAGATAATGATTTATTATTTTTTGCCCACGTCTTCCCAGCCTGGAACCCACTTCAATACATAACTAGCGACAGAGGTGGTTAAACCTAGGTAGCGCGCTAGGCAAGCACCTCATAGGGTATTTTTTTGGGGCCGCCGCGCCGCCACTCTGTGGAGAATTGGGAACGCACGCCTCTGTAACCGCCCTAGACACTTGCCTACCATCGCAGCGGTAAGTCCCCTCTTTGAGGAGTGGCTTGAGAGACGCTACGGCGTCCTCACCTACCGCCTGACGCAGGTCCTCACCGGACATGGAAGTTTCGGGAGGTACCTGTGTCTGATGGGGCGGGAGGAAACGCCCGGGTGTCATCACTGCGAGGACCGCCCTGAGGACACGGTGGAACACACGGTGGGAGAATGCCCTTCGTGGGCTGAGCACCGCCGTGTCCTCAGGGAAGTGATCGGCGATGGCGACCTCTCGCGTCCGGGCCTAGTGCAGGCCATGATGCGGAGCGAGGGGGATTGGGATGCCGTCTCCTCCTTTTGCGAAGCAGTCATGCTAGCTAAGGAGGAGGCGGGACGCGTGAGGCAGCGAAGCGCTGCCTCCTCGCAACCCAGCCATCGCGAAGGACACACCGGGCGTCGGGGATCGCGGGACGATCTCCGGCCACCGTAAGCGCGGGCCTGCGGACGGCGAGCATGGGTGGCTCCCCGTCCGACCAGAAACAGACCCGAGCGTACGGCGCGTCGCGTTCCGCGCGCGCCTCAAAGAGCCATCCGATGCCGATTCGGAGTCGCGGAGAACCTAACGGGTAACCGGGGCTCCGGCTCGACGTGCAGGAGAAGGAACGGGGTGGTTTTTAGTCAGTAAGAGTCTGACACTCCCTCCCGCCTCACCCAGGCGGGGGCAGTCATTCGATGATTTTCCCCCCTTAAAAAAAAAAAAAAAAAAAAGACACTTGCCTAGTTTTCCGTAGGAATAATATAGGTCTAGCTTGCGTGCACCAGCAGTTACGTTGCTAAGCACGACTATCTTGCCCACGACCACATACTTGTCTTAAAATGCCAGCAGACATGAAATAACCTACCTTATTAGGATTTTTTTTATGGGGGAAAATCATCGAATGACTGCTCCCGCCTGGGTGAGGCGAGAAGGAGTGTCAGACTCTTACTGAATAAAAACCACCCCGTTCCTTCTCCTGCACGTCGAGTCGGAGCCCCGGTAACCCGTTAGGTTCTCCGCGACCCCTTTTTAGGATTAAGTAAAGGTTCTCTTCACTGGGTTCTCCTCTTGGGGGTGCCAAGAAAACTATATAGGTATATATGTCGGAGAAACATTGTCATCGCCGACATCGTCACAAACATGTCATGTAAGTCCATGTAAAGTAATCCGAGCACAAAACACAACGATCACAATAAACACTATTTTAATTTAGATAGTAACAATAGTTTTATCTGTTTCACAATAACGTAAAAGAAAAGTTAATAATTAGGACTGAGCAGCGGGCTCAGGGCACCGATCTTACAGTAAAATTACATAAACGATCCGCCTCGACCGATAGCTAATTCATGCTCTCCCGCCAAAACTATCTCTCTTTTTATCAGTAAGATGGCGCCTCGACCCCGCTCTAGCGCGCTCTGCTCTGATTGGTCGAAGGAGGTACTTAGGAAGTCAAATTCAAATTATCAATAATTCTAATAAATCAAATTAAGAATTTTTTATTAAGTGTGACAAATCAATTTAAATTAATTTAGGCATTTTAAAAAGTGAATATAAAACAAATAAAAATTAATGTGCGTTATGCAATGCAAGTAACAATAACTCCCAGCTTCCTCCGACATATATATACATATATAATGTATATAATTATGTATATATATAGAATAGAATATAATAAATCTTGAATTCAACTCAGAAAGCTATAAAAAGTAGTAGGTATAATACTAAATGGGGAAGTAAGGTATAAAAGAAAATAAAAAGTGGGTATCTAATAAATTCAATATTATTCCTTTATCTGCTCATTTTAGCGAATTTAGAGGAAATAGTAACTTCACAAAAAAAATTAAATCGACTAAAAGCAAATCGATTAGCAAAGTTTTATACTTAAGATATCTGTGGAGTTTATCAAGCGATTGTTGACGTTTTGAAAGCAATTTGACAGACTTTTATCAATATTGGCAGGATTCGAAGATTGATCATTTTGTGAATTTCTCCAGGGAATAATTTTCATAAAGTAGCTTGAAATAACGTTTAAGGTATGGTAAACTTGGCCGATACACTTATGATAAATACGGTGACGGACGGAGCTATGAATTTTTTGCGACATATTGTAAGTCTTGTCTTCAGCTTTGTGATACAGTTATAGTCTTCCTAACGAACAAAGGGTATATTGTTTAACCAAATAATGCCACTTTATTTACGTCACAGGGCATCTTTAAAACCCAACAACCTACTCCACAACCAGCTCAGATTATCGTAAGGATGCCGCTGTGGCAACTAGCACAGGAAGCGGGGCCCTTTGTGCGCCTGGCCGGATTGAGCGGTGCTGCCGCTGTAGTGCTGGGTGCAATGGGAGCACATCGCACGTTCCCTGAGCCTGAAACTAAGGAAGATTTAAGAAAAATATTTGACACAGCCAACCGCTTCCATTTCTTACATACACTTGCACTTGTTACAGTACCTCTTTGCAAGAGACCAATGATTGTGAGTCTGACAATATTTTATTCCCTACATTGCTTTTATAAATTGCGACATTGAACTTTGTAATTGGTCATTACACAGTGAATGATAAATAATGAATTTGATTACCATAGCAGTAATATATAAAAATGATTATGCAACATTTTTATTCAAATTTTTCTTAATCTTTACTATCACTATCATGAATCTTATTGTTTTATCTAGTATATTTTTTTTTAATCATAGCTTTTCCAGAAGTACAATTACACTTCAATTCCGGTATGAATGATAGTAGCCAAACCATTATTATTCTAAGAAATGATTGTATTAATATTTGTTTCCAGGCTGGCGCTTTCTTTATTACTGGCATGGCACTATTTTGTGGGACCTGCTACTACCATGCTTTCACTGGAGACCGTTGCTTCCGCAGGCTCACCCCCATTGGTGGATCTTGTCTTATACTTGGATGGGTTGCAATGGTGCTGTAAACCTTTGTGACAATTTATAGATTCTCATTTTTGTTGATAGATGGTCAAGTGTACATTCTAGTGTAGGTTTATGTTTTAGACTTTATTGCACAGATTTATCACTTAATGTTTGATGTATTATGTAGTCTGAATTATTTTAATGTACCTAGTATTGTACTATGTATATTTTCCATGATGATACTTTAATCAACACAACATAAATTTTTTATTAGCAGTATAGTTCCAGTTATTAGAATATTAGTCATCACATGATATAATTAGATTTAGATCTATGTTATAATGGATTCACTGAAATACATAATCATTCTTATTATGAAGTACATTTTAATATATTTTTGTGAATTGGTAGGTGGCAGTCTATAATATTAAATGGTTCTTTGGAAAAAATTAATTAGCTGTCTTTGTTATATTATATTGTAAGGTTTACAATGTCAACTTGATGATAATAAATGCCAAATATTTGAAGGTTTCATCCTTGTTTTTATTTATGCTATGAATTTCAATGTGTTCAACAGGTGGAGTGTGAATGTTGGCTCGACGCAATAATTGTGTCTATCATGTCGCTAATCCCTTTATGAGATAAGATGAGAATGAAATGAATAGAAGGTGAAAAATGAAACGCAATATTGATCAATATTGTTTACATGGTTTTATTGAAATTGTTACATATTAAATTTTGCACTTTTTCTTTACTCATTTATGATACTTAAAACATACACCATTTGGTAATAAATGCTATTATAATTCATAGGACTCTCAGACAAGTTTTAATGGTCCTTCAAATAGCTTAAATATAAATGTGCCAATCTAAGTCAGAAATAAACTGCAGGTGGTATTCGAGGAATAACTCGCGAAGTGTAAGTGAGAGGGCACTCTATTGTTACAATATTATTATGTAGGTTCAGCTAAGTCAGAAGCATGGATGGTCAGTCCTGTGGCTAGAGGTACAATACCGACTCGTGCAGTCTTGTCTCCATACAATGAAGCCAACAAAATCCATCCATGTTATAATTATTCACCATAAGCTTTTTATTGAGAGTCGGCAGATCTCCGAAGTACAGAGAAAGTATTATACAAAGTTATCACATTAAATTAACACAAAATATAATATAAACATATTTCTGTAATCTAAAAAGAATCGAAAGAAAAACAAAACTATAGAACGCACAGCACTTTAAGTGTCTGTCACATTAGGTTAATAAAATCACTTTGATTGCACATAAACAGCAGTCGTCCGGGGCGTGCGCACCGTCAATATAACACAATTATTATAGGTTTCACTAACCGCATTCACACGTGTATACAAACAACTCTGAGGGGTCGATAAGTAATCACAGTAGTGGGGGAGGAGGTGACGTTCGGGCGTTCACGACAAGTGGAACGAGTGCTGGCCCTCGGAGGCGGCCAGGCGCAGCTTGGCGCGCATCACTTCCGCGCTGGTGTAGTCCGGCAGCTTCAAGTAGTTTACGCACGTCATCACTGACGGCAAGTACTCGTCCGGATCCAGAGACGACTCCAGCGATTTGCGCACCACCGTCAGTGGTGGGTTCAGGGCCTTGAAACCTGTTCAAATTACAATCAAAATGTAAGCTCATGTTGTCAAAGCTGGCAATATGTCGTTGTATAAATTGCAATAATAAATATTTGTTTACCTCCTGTAGGTAACCGAGGGCTTCCAGTTACGAACTGTAGAAACAAACGTTGCTCCTCACGGTTATATGACGCAAGTATGTCGATGAGCATGCGAATGGCGCGCGACTCTGCGTTGTACCCGTGGTCTGGACGGATACACTCCGTGAGCATGCGTGGCTCCCAACGCTGGTCACGACCACCTGTAGTGAAAATATTTAAGGTTATACCC